CAGGATGCTGTCAGAATCAGAAACCTCCTGGACGGCAGGCCATTGCTGCTCGCACCACTCTTTCGAGGGCTGGTGCTGAACTCAGTCCGGCGTCCTTCGGAGCTTTGGATGTCATGGGGCCTGAACGGCCTTCTCCGGGCTTCAGGATCCCCTCGGACTTTCGAGCGATTCCAAAAAAGGGCGCTGGTGAATTAGGTCGCACTCGGTTGTAGTGGCAAGGGTCTGGTCTACCAAGGCCGACGATCTTCCCCCCCACATTTTTGAGCACAAACCTCAACTTCACAGCCTTTTCTCACCGCTGGAAGCTGCCTAACCGAGCCTACTGACCCGCTCAAGTCAGCAAGCCCGCTCAGCATTTGTCAGGTTAGCTTGAGCGGCGGCGCGTCGCCGAAGAGCAAGCTCTGAGACGCTTCCGGCTTGAGTTGAGCACATGCTGTACGAGGTCTGGGGTTTTTCAGGTTCCGTTGGCTCTAACTGGACAAAGCCAGGTAACGTCGGATGAAGATTCAACGGAACATATGCATTTCTGGCTGGGGAAGCAAACGGCATCTCGAGCAAGTGCTCGGCTGCGATTGGCTCCGGACGACGACGTTTGTTGTGCGTGAGGGCGGCGTTTCATCCAGAGCCTATTGTTAATAAGATATGTGATTAGTTAAGGCTGTGCCGCAAACTGTGCACCGACGTCGGGGGGTTAGCGTCGTTGCGCCGCACCGGTGGTGGGCCGAATTTTCCGCTGATCTCCCTGGCAGGGAGGTGGCAGAACTGCAGCCAAAATCAACTCGTGTGGCTCATGGTCGCAGGATGTGCGACGGCTCTTAATTAGTGGTTTGAATGAAACAGATTAGCAGTTGGTTTCTGACTTGGGCTAGCATACCCTTTGATGTGTTGCTTGTCGGTGCCATACGGTCTCTCTTATCTATCCATAGCGGACGACCAGCAAGCGTTGCGAAAATGATCGTCGAGCCACTTCCTCCTGCCATGCGATGGTGCAGCCATGACGTGAGAGCAGTCGACAAAAATCAGCCAGAGCCGGTAGAGCGCTTGAGTTCGGATGCATTACTGACGCCCCGCAACAGGGAGTATGCTGGCAGCCGGAGACGGGGGCGACAGGGACAAATGAACAAGAAAGAGAGATGGAAAAGGGGAGGGAGAGAGAGGGGGGGTGCAGAGGTGAATCCCGTGGGCCCAGCCACACCCGAATCGGGCCCCGAAGGCCACGGCCTCATGCAAAGACCCCCTGAAGGCCCGGGGGAGAAGGGACGCACACAAGATTGGCAGCGGCAAGGGGTAGATACATCTACTCGACAACATCCATGGCCTTGTTTTGTCCTAAGGAGAAGCCATGGAGCAATACCAGCGTCACGAGTGGTTCCAGGCTAGGAAACACTGGCCGAGTATGTCTCTGGGCACACGTCGGTGCACCCGTCGGATGTTTCGAGGGGGCAAGGGAAGACCCGATGCGGCATCGCCCAGCAGACTGGGGAGGGGCTGAGATCCCTCCGAGTCCTCCGCACTGCAGCCAGCCACACCACTTGGCCGACCACATCGGCAGGGGCTGACCACGTGGTGTAACTTCTTCAAGCCAGCCACCAGCAGTGAAACCCAGTGAGCCCGTGCCTCTTCCGAGAGGAGGGGAGATCAAGTGGATCCAAACCTTGGTTCAGAGGTTTCCCGCCGGCAACCCCGGATGCTTGGACGAAGAAGGGCGGCTACAGGAGGAGTAGGAACTCACATGGGCAGCAGAACGCGCGCAGGGGCAACCGGAAGAACCAGAAGACTGGGAGGTGGCCCGAGTAGAAGCAGGACACGGTGAGACCATGTGAGACCTCTACTTCCAGCCTGACACCACCTGAGAGCTTGCCCGGTGCGCTTCATTATCGCGGACCTCGTAGTAGTTCCCTGGATTGTCACGACTAGGGCCAGGGGGGGCCATGTTGTGTACAATGGTGCACGTGTTAGCTGAGTGTGTAGAAGGGGGGCAAGCACTTCGTCTTCGTCACGTTCCAAATAGGCAGCGAAAGCCAAGGCATCACGAAAGTAGGTACTACCAAGTCGCAGATGGCATAGGCAGGGGCACAACATGGCACAACTCAGAGCCCAGCAGAGTGCAGACCTGACTAGATCTTGTAATGGTTCTTCATGTGGTGTTGTTGAGGTGGACCCTGATGCCCGTAGACTCTAAGCCCATGATGGAGTAGACGACAGGGGGCACAACTTGTAGTAAAGGTTGCGAACGGAGAACTGGTGCTTGAAACTTCACCTTGTATGATGACCTTATTGAGTGTTGTTCGTGAAGGGCAACCCCTACCCCATACCTGCAAAAAGAAAGAGACAGCGAGAAGCACAACGAAAACAACCAAGAAGGGAGCAGCAGACAGGCAAGATGGCACAGGTTCAGTTAACATCGAACATAGTTGAGAGATCACAAATTTGGCCAGAGTGGGACGTTTCAACTCTTCGAACGCGGTGGCCCCACAGCTTTGTATGTGAGTTTCGCCAGGCGCGCATCCCATCACCCTTGCCCGTGTCTGCGCTGCGAGAGGCCCACGAATGTTATTCTTGCTAGTCTCTGCCAATCATGTTTGATTGAAATTGTGAAGAAATCCCAACTGAAAGCCTTTCAAAGAAGCTTTCTAGAGTCGTGTTCATCCGGCCTAGCTCTAAGGTTTTTGTCACCCTCAGGGCATGCGCTGCAGACGGACGAACAGTGACAGTTCTTGAATCCGTGATGCCCTGGCCGCGAGGGCTCCGATGCGCAGGGCTGGTGGCAGGCCGTGACCCCAGCTCCGGAGCCGCTTCTTCTGCAGATGTTTGAAAAGCCCTCCGGTACGTCTTCATTTCATCATTCTCTACAGTGGATGCTTGGTGCTCCAGCATGCGCATGGCCCACTGTAGACTGAATGCGATAAATGCCCAGATTCTCGCGGAGACGAGAGCCCAGCGGCGGGAGCTTGAACGGCGAGGCGTGCCCAATCAAGACGAGGGATGATTGCTTCTCGCTCTCTGGCAATCGAATCTGTGTTCTGCACCTTAAGCCATAAGCCCAAAGACCAGGTAGACATGATGCACACAGGCCATGGACCATGGAGGCACACCAGACATCACCAGACTTGCAGCCATCAGGCGAGCTTGAGCTTGCAGCGCAGGAGGTAGCGTGACTTCCGAAGTCCGGGGCCCAAAGACCGCCCCGCCTTGCAGCCTCAGCTTGCGGCAGGGTGCGAAGCACGAATCACACCACAGAGTCGAAGGCTCTGTCAGAAGGGCCCAGACGCTGCCTGAGCTGAGGGCTCAAGTCTCAGCGCCCCTTGGGCGCTTCGTGCAATCTTTGCATTGGCGCCGTCCGATGATGCTGCTTGCGGAGTCTCTGCGGTAAGGAAGCATCATATATGCCAACGATGAGCTAGGAGGTGCAGACTATGATTTACGGCAACTTACAGTTAAAGTACCTTAAAGTTAAAGTGGCTCTCCGCGCAAGTTGGCGTAAAGCAGTCGGGCAGCCTGGCCTGTCATGTTCGAGGTTTTCTGAATTTAGTTCATGGCGTGAAATTAGTTCATGGCTTGGCCTAAACATACGAATCTGTAGTAATCGTAGGCCCGCTTGTGCCGATCACAGCGAGAAATCCTTGCGGTTGTAGTCGTAGTGTAGTGGTGGAGGTGCTGGGGTGGGGGTGAGGAGGACCCGCGTGCTCTGTACAAGTGTCTCTACTAGTGTCAAATCCTGGAGCCTATGCCATACTCTGTTTGGTTGGCGGGAGAAGCCTGATGAAGACTTACCTTCGCCATCCGCATCATCATCGGATGCACAGCTCCAGTCGGTTTCTGACCACTCAGGTTGTCTCGCGATGATCGCTCGAGTTTGATATAGCTTGATATTCTAAAACCACAGTTCGGCTTGATGCAAACCCCCGGAAACTTGGCTCAGGCCGAGTCGAAGGCAGCAACATATGATCTTCGTGGCTTCCTGGGTGTCCTTAGCGAGCTGAGATGAAGTTGCCAAGCCTTTGTCCCTCAAGCTGCAGCGCATCATGTGAGTAGTTGTTCGAACCGTTATGTAATTGACGCTTGTATTTACATGTACATATGTGTGTATCTAAATTATGCAGTTGAAACTATATGCTTATATTAGTTATATATATACATATTGCTTATGCGCCGATGTGTATGTATGCATAAATGTGAGGATACATACATCTAGGTCATTCACCGAGAGGTTACACCCACAGACATGTCTCACGGCCCATCCCCCGCAGCGAATTCAGCGAATGCTTCGATGTAGATGCTCCGTTTGATCATAGAGAAAAGAGTGCCCGACAACGTTCGGCTTTGGCAGCGACAGAGTTGATCGACTTGACTTAATTGTCCAGGCAACCGCGGGTTGGGGAGTTGGGGATTCGCAGACTCTATCAGTCTCCAAGATCCAGGTTGCCCGCAGAAGGAGCTGAGGTGTGCCCGCAAGCTGGATGCCCGGACCGGTCGGATTTCGGCTTCAGCCTCAAACTGGCGCAGCTCGCAGGACCGCTGCCATACGTGCAGCGCAAAGCATGGAATGCGTGAGCTGCAAGCTCGAAGCCAAGATCTCCACAACCCTCCTTTCTGGTTTCCGGGGCCCCTTACAGGAGGCTGCTCCTCTAGGCCTGGGACTTGTCAAACGCAAAAGGCGAAATTGAGTGAAGACCGTCCTTGCAGTCATCTTCAGTTGTTACGACGGTGTTTTGCATGAGTAGCGCAGAGCCGCGAATGCAATTTTTTGCCTCTTGAGCATTCCATGCCATCTGACATTTATTGCCGAGGAAACTTCTGGATACCTGCGACGAGCAGGACTACTACGCTCTGTGCGCCCATGCAGTAGTGGCTTAAGCCCGATAAGGCCGGTTCCGGTCAGAGTCTTTAGTCCATTTCCTCTCGAAATTGTGCCAAGTCCTTACTAGGTTCAGGAGGGTCGTTCGATTTGCAAGCCAGCTTACCTCGGAACAGCCATGGCTTTATCAGGTATCTCTAGATCCCAGGTCGCTTCAGGGCTTCAGGCACATACGACACTTTCCATTCTTCATCAGATCACCTCCGAAATCCGTGCATTAGCGGTCATTCACAGACATGCTGTACCTCCGAGGGCATTCATACTCAGGTGGCGATGCGAAGACGGGCACGACTTCTTTGTGTGCCAGGAGCCGTGAAGCCTTGTGAGTGGTTTGCTTCAGCCTGTGGCTCGTTTTGAGATCCAGCGCGCCCGTGTGTTGCAGAATTCCTGGCCTCTCAATGGAATCTCAAGGAAAGCTATGCAGCCTATGGCCTAGACTCCTAGACCAGACTCAATGACAGGAGGCATGCGAGCAGAAGTTCAAGGACAGGTGGGAGGAGGCAGGTTCTGGATCCACGGATCGGTGTCCGAAGTTTTGTCAGGTTCAGTTGGGGCTGCATGGGACCCAACTGCTTCTTTCAGAATGTCACTGTCACCTGTTTGACCCCAGGCACGCGGGCAAGCTCTTCCGAGGGCTTTCCAGTAGTGTGAGTCACGATCAATTGGTCGTACGGGACATTGGCACACTGCCACTGCCACGTCAAGCTTTCTGGCCGTTCCAAGCAAAGCCACCATCGCAACAGCCCCATGCCCATGCAGCGTGCGGATGTACGTGAATTAGGATAGCTTCCCACAGCCCAGCGGTTGATGGGCCTCGGATAAGTCTGCGAACCCGGCTCTTAGCACAGGTCGAAAAGGAGAACTCGCTGCGCTTACGAGGATTGAATCAGGTCGGCTGCACTACGTCACTACTGCTCCAGCGAAAGCCTTTCGGAATTTCGCAGACTTTGGATCTGTACAGGGCCATGCCCGGAAGAAGATCACCGATCATGAAGCGAGGCAGGATCTGCGGGCAGAGCTTGGTTATTCCCGACCTGCGGCAGTCTCTAGCAGCTCTAGCATAGGTTTTCCTGAGACCTTTGCGTCCTGAAGTGTCGAAGTCAATTGAGTATCTGTGGTGGTGTGACGCTACGACCTTGCACGGCGAGCTTGTATGTACTGAACATTGCCCCCCCCCCCCCCCCCCCCCCCCCCCCCCCCC